CCTGGGGGCCCTCCCAGTGGGTGCTGAGGCTCTTAGGAGGAAGGTGGAGAGTCCCTCACTGCAAACCTCAGGGCCCAGGATGAAGAGGACCCTGGAGGCAGGGCCAGACAGGCTGCTGGGGTGCAAGGGGGCCTTGGAGGAAGCGCCAGAGGCCTCTCCATTATTTAGAAAGCAGTGCTCCCTTCGTCAGCACATATACTAAAATTGGAAGGATACAGAGAAGATTAGCATGGCCCAAGTGCAAGGATGACGCACAGATTCATGAAGCATTCCATATTAAGAAAGAAAAAAAGAAAGAAAGAAAGAAAGAAAGAAAGAAAGAAAGAAAGAAAGAAAGAAAGCTGTGCTGTAACTGCTGCTCAGCTCCAGCCGTCCTGCCCCACACAGACCCCTGGGCAGTGCAGACAAAGCAAATCAGGGACCAAAGTGTCTTCGCACCTGCTGGAAACCCTAAAAGCCCCTTGACGCTCTGTTGCCCCTGCCCCTGGGGTCTGAGCCAAGCCATGACACCCCACGCTCCTGCCTTCCTTCCTAGAGCTCCAAGGACTGTACAGCCTTTCCTGTCCCGGGAGTCAAGTCCAATTCCCAGTGGGCAAAGCTCCTGGAAGAAGAGCAAGGCTGCTCGGCAGGGTACACCTCCCCCAGGAGCACCCCCAGGCTGTGAGACTGAAGGAAAGAAACAGCCAGAGGAGAAGCAGAGACGTGGGTGAAGGCTGAGCCCTGAAGGTCTGCATGCTATTGTGGCTTGACCTTGTCCCCTGAGTCCTCTGCAGACTACACTTTGGGTGGCTCCCGGAGAGCGGGTGACTCCTTGGGAGTCTGGGGTTTCCTGTGATTCTGGCCTGGCTGGCTGCACAGAGCAGATCCTTCTTTCCCATTCTCCTTCCCTTTCCACTCCTGGCCAGCTGGTGCTGCTGACTTGCCTTTGACAAAGCACTCCCGCCAGACACTGTCCACCCTGTGGCCAGGCAGCCCATGGCATTCTCTCAGCAGGCCATTGTGACTCCCTCACACAGACAAGGAGATGCAGGCAGTGGTGTGGGTGGAGGCTCCCGTAGCTGCAGAGTGGACAGGGTGTCCGAGGCCGGAGTCCTGGGCACCACTGCCATGAAGCCTGGGGTTTTTGGCTCCATGTAAATACCAGGTGCTCTGGCTCTGCCTGGATGACTGTCCACACAGCCCTGACCCTTACTGACCCCAGACCTGCTTGTACTCTTGACTCGCTCCACTGACACATTCTCAGCCCTTCTGCCTGACCCTGGGTTGGGGGTGCTGGGAGGAGACACCAGGGAATCAGACAGTTTTCAGCAGAGAAGACCCCACCCGCCCCTCCATCTCTGTTGGGGTCTGTGCAGTAGATGTGGGGGACATGAAGGGGTGAAGAGTGTTGTTCCATTGCAGGCAGGGCTGCAAGGAATTTCCCGCTGACCGGCAGGGAGCGCTCAGCAGATGTCACTACAACCACCTGAATGCATCGCCACCTTCTTTTGCGTGGACACCAGACTACACTGCAGAAGAATTCTAATCCATCCTGGCATTTGCTACTGCGAGGCTGGCCTTTTGCTCAGCCTGAGCTTGGAGGTCAATGTCTTGCAGAAGGGCCCTTTATTATTCCTACTGTCTTGGCTGTCCCCATTGAACCTATGCTAATCAAGGGACCTGTGTTTAGGCTTTCATTCTTTCCTTGATCTTTAGGTTCCCCTTTTCTTTGTGATACAAGATTGAATTGTAGGATAAGAATTGTAGCAGGAACTTCTAGGTAATACTATGGCAGAGTTATCTTTAGAAACACCCACTTGACTGTGACGTAAAAAGTCTGAGCCAGAGTTTGACTGATTTTGTATAAATAAAGCGGACAGCTTTTGTGCATCGTCCATTATGATCATGAAGTCCTAGTGGTCCGTCTCTTTCTTTCCTCTTTACGCCTCATCCACGCACCCTTCTCGAGTTCCGAACTCAGCTGGAGCTGGACTCCGGCACATCTCAGCTTTCTGTCCCATCCCCAAGTGGGTGATGGACATTGCTGACGGCCACACTGAGGCCAGGAGAGAAGTGATGTGCCTGGGACCACAAGGCCAGGGAGTGGCGGTGTAGGGAGCTTTCAGCCCTTCTGAGTGTCTGACAGGTGCTTCTTGCACCACCATAGTACAAGACCCTGGCACCAGGTCAGACCTCCTCCAGCCAGGGCTTATTCAGAGCAGCCTTTGGGAGGGACTCTGCCTAGCCAGGTCAGCTTCCAAACAGGCCTGGGCTGGGAACTGGCACCTAGGAAGGAGGGAAGCAGGGCTGGGGTGAGGTGGCTAACAAAGAGTTTTACTTGTTTTTCTCAGGATTAAGGAGCAGACAAATCACCTACAAGTGTTACACAAATGCATGCTGGCCGGGCAACAGCTTGTGGTGGGACAGCCTCTGTGTGTGTGTGTGTACGTGTGCATTTCTGCATGTGTATGTACTACATATATGTCTTTGCATTGGTGCATTGTATATGCAAATGTGCACATATGCACAGATATGTGCATGTGTGTATTAGGGGGCTCAGGTATAAGATACCCGAGCCGAGGATGCAGCTGAGGCTGGAAAGGGGGACGCCCACCACTCATGCTGGCCCCCTGTGTGCTGACAGGGTGCCACAGGCTAGAGACTGAAGGGAAAAGGAAGAGATCAAGGCTTGGGTAGAAACGGGCTGGAGCTAAGAAAAGGGCCCTGAGTTGGGGGGTGGGTGATGGTGGTGTCGGTGCGACTGCGAAGTCTGCGTTTGTGCATTGGTGGGGGAGGGGGTAGGCAGAGGGCAGGGAAACTGCGGAGCCTTGAGGAAGTCGGTAGCAGCAGCGCGGAGGGGAAGGGGGGTGGAAAGCCCGCGCTGCCCAGTTTCCCTGGGCGCCTCCTGGCTCCCGCAGAAATGCCAAGCCTTTTCCTCCACCTCCGTGGGCGGAACACTCCGCCGCCCTCTCCCTCTTCCACCGCCCTGCTCCCCGCTGTGGTTGGACACAGATCCCCCTAGGGCCGAAGCCCTCGCCCAGCATCCTGAGGTTTAGCTAGGGGGCGGAGTCCCACGAGGCTGGGTGCCCCCCTACTGGACTCCCCCCAATCCTTTTCCAGTGCCCCCAGTCAGGGCTTTGGTAGCTTGGGGTCTGCAGGCCCCCTTGTTGAGCAAGAAGGTATTGGTCAGTGCCCCTGGACCGCCCAGAGGAGGCCCCGCAGCGGCAAGCCCCGTCGGTGGGTCCTTGCAGCCTTCAAGTTGGAAATCCCTTTCTCAGTTTGGTCTGCCTGTTCGTAATATGCAAGAGTCACAAGATACCCCACGGCTTAGGAGCTTGGCTGGGTGGGGGGCGCGGAGTAGGGGTGGGGATCTCGGTGACCTCAGGAAGTGGGTCACGGAAGGTCCTGAGTCTCCACGCCCTCACCTGCAGCTTGGAAGGGGCTGGTCGACTAAGAGGCGGGCAAGGAAGGATGGGATGACTCAGGACGGCGCCTGCAAAGGAACGCGCGCCCAAGGCTGTGAGTGCCCGGCAGTGTGCATGCATTGGGTCACTGGGGAGCGCGGGTCTCGGAAGAAGTCTGCGAGCCGGGCTCCGTGGGGCCCTGCAGAGGAACAGCTACCCCGAGGCCGCGGCCGGGGCTGGGGTCGGGGCTCCCAGCTGCGGCGCCGAAGTGCGAGGCGGGGAGTGGACACGCCGAGGCTGCGCCGCGGTGCAGTCGCGGGGCTGGATTCACACACCAGACTCTTGGAAAAGCTCACATTTTCCCAGCTTTTCGCACTCAGAATCACTTCCTTTGTTCGGAGGAGGGGGTGGGGGAGGAGACGGAGGGCGAGGAGGGAGGGGCCCGCGGGTGCCGCCGCCGCCGCCCCCGCCCCTCCCGGGGTGCGGAGCCCGATTGTCACTCAGCTCCCGCGCCGGGGGCGACCGAGGCGCCGGCGCCCGAATCCAGTCCCCGCCAGCCGCCACCACCTCCCTGGACGCCGGTGGTCCGGCTCTGGCTTCTCCCGGCCAGCACATAGCGGTAGGCTGCCGGAGGCGCGGGGGACTGTCAGGGCGTGGGGGCGCTGGGACAGACCAGCTCAGGTGGCCGACAGCTGCTCCGGCATTGGTGACCTTGGGTGAGTCTGTGCCTCAGCGCGCCCCGGCGCGTCCCAGCGGGATGCCAGAGAGGGCGCAACAAGGCGCTTGGAATGGCCCCCTTGGGGCAGGTGGTGGGCAGGGGTCCGAGGAGAACTGGAGCGGGTCCAGGGGACCGCTCAGAGCCGAGCGCCAGCCGTGTCTCAGGTGGGTGGGCGCAGGGCAGGTGTGCGGTGTGCGCAGCTGGTTGGGGAGCCCACTCACTGGCCTTGTCCGGGCCTCAGCTCCCCAGACTCACGCCTGCCGCTCTGGCCCCAGGTGCGAAACAGGAGCACTACCTCTTTAAAAGCGTCCGGGGCAGAGCCTCCGCCGCACCATGTGATTGCTTGAAAGGCCGGGCTGGGAGAGCTGCGGCGGGAGCCTGGAGGGCGGTGAGCTGCCTGTGCCCAGAGCCCATCCCTGCCCGGAGCAGCCCTGGAACACCGGGCTTCCAGAGCTTGCAAGTTTGGGCCCCTTGCAGAGGGCCCCTGGACCCTCTGCTGGCCAGCGGGCGGGATGGTGAGCTCCTTGCATGGTGCTCTGTGGGTATGGGGACCCTTGTGGAGTGAGTGTGAGTGTGTATGTGTGTGTGAGTGTGTGTGAGTGTGTTGTGTGTGAGAGTGTGTGTGTGCTGGGAGCTGCCTCACACCTGATAACAGCCCAGGCAGTGAGTGCTGCTATTTTAAGTTGCTGAATGGAACCTATGGGGATGAGTAGGGAGGGAAAGATTAGGAAGAGGGAGAGGAAGAGCTGGGTAACCCCACGGACCCAGGAAAGGCACTGGCAGTGCCCAGTGGGGCAGCCAGAGCGCAGTGCATGGTGTGGAGGGTTCCCCTCCTCTTCCCGGGCTGGCCCTCCACCCAGGCCTCCCTGACCACAGGTACCTGCTGCGTGCCCCCCCAGTGCCTGTCTGCTGATGTGCCCAGCCTGTGCCCAGCATGCCGCCCTCCATCTCGGCCTTCCAGGCCGCCTACATCGGCATCGAGGTGCTCATCGCCCTGGTCTCCGTGCCTGGCAATGTCCTGGTCATTTGGGCTGTGAAGGTGAACCAGGCATTGCGAGACGCCACCTTCTGCTTCATCGTGTCACTGGCCGTGGCTGACGTGGCTGTGGGAGCCCTGGTCATCCCACTGGCCATCCTCATCAACATTGGCCCTCAAACCTACTTCCACACCTGCCTCATGGTGGCCTGTCCTGTGCTCATCCTCACCCAGAGCTCCATCCTGGCCCTGCTGGCCATCGCCGTGGACCGCTACCTCCGCGTCAAGATTCCTCTCCGGTGAGTCCCTGGTGACTGCTCGAGGGACAAAAGGTGGTGAGCAAGACCTCAGGGCAGCACCCCCAGGCACTGTGGTGCCAGTCTGAGCTGAGGCTGGAGAAGCAGGCAGAGGGACCGGAGATCTGTGGGAATAGAGGCAGCTGGCCAGGCCTGCGGTAATGATGGGGGCATTCAGAGGGGCCGCCCAGCCAGGGTTACGCTGATGCTGCATGGGAGTCAGCTGAGTCTTGCCGGTCCCTGGGAAGGTATGGAAATGGAACAGAGAGCTGGGGTCTGAGTAAGCAGCCCCAGGGAGCTGGGGGAGCAGCCTCTCCAGGGAGATCCCCAGGCTGGCTTCCTGAACTGTCGTTGGCTCTCTCTTATCCAGTGTTTCTGTGCCAGCCAGACCCACCCCCGGGCACCGTCCTGCCCAAGTCAGTCAGTGGGCTGATGGCTGCTCCTCGGCTCACACTTAGGGGAATGCAGTGGCAGGAAGAAGTGGAAATGCTGGTGCTTGGTTTTAGCATTCCTGTTTGCTTGCAAAACCACGTGTGCCTGTCCTTGCCCGGCACGGCTGAGGTGCATGAGCCGCCTCCAGACAACATCGGGGCAGGTGGCCTGATGGTAGCAGAATTCAGCGTGGGTGTCCAGGCCATATGGGACTTGCCAGGCCATAATCTCATCACCAGGCAGTGCCTGGGCCACAAAGTGCCAGCGAGAATCTGGGCACACTGCCCAGGACTGGCCCTGCTGGGACACTCTTGGGAGGCATGCTGGCCCTTGCTTTAAATTCTTGTCACCAGCAGATTCGTTTTCTACTGGGGAGCTCTGGCCTTCGGCAGCATCTGCCATCCCTAGCGTGGCTTCCATATCTGGATGTAGGGCCTCTGGTCTTGCTTGGCTGTCTGCCCAGGGAAAGCACCACATCTCTCCCTTTACATGACTTCCTAAGACTTTTTTTCCACTCTGATTCCTCCCTGATTCTGGAAGGGGATTGATAGAGCAGGAGCTGACAGAGAAGGCTGGCCTCAGATGTCCTGTGCAGGAGGTTGGGAGCCAGCCGCCACCCAGTCACACACCTGCTGTCTTGAGGCCCCGTGCCCAGAAGCTAGGAGCATCCGGTTCTCAGGGGGAGGGGCACTAAAAGCTGCTGCTTGGGCCCTGTACACTTAGCTAGCCGGGGCTTTTGTGTTGCCATTAGCTCTGGGTCAGTGCCAGGCTGTGTGGAAGAAGCTGCTGGTCCCGGTGCCTTAGCAGCAGGGCTGGGCCTGGGAGCCTGGACCGTTCTGACCCAGAGTGGCCGCATTGGGAAAGTAGCTCAGATGAGCAGACCTAAGAGGGCTGCTGAGAAATCTGCATGCTGTGTGGATGCCAAGGCTGGCCAAAGGCCTGGCCCTGCTGGGACAGTGGGCATGGGCCCTGCGGGGCTGGTGCTGGCTGTACCAGGAGCTATGTTCTGTGGGCCGAGGCAGGAGCAGGCCCAGAGGCCGATTCAGGTCTCTGCGTGACTCCTGCTATAAATCTGTAACAGTGTGACTTTAGGAAAATCGCTTATTTAACTTCTTTAAACTTTAATTTCCTCACTTATGAAAGGAGGCATTATATCAAGCACTTAGTATTATGCATGGTGTATTATACACAAGCCACAAGTGTATAAATTTATGTTTGCAGATTTTTTATTGGATTTATTTATTATTTATTTGAAGGCAGAGTTACAGAGAGCATGGGAGAGAGAGAGCACGAACAAGTGCTAGTTCACTCTCCAAAAAGTTTGCAGTGACCAGAACGGGGCCTGGCCAAAGCTAGGAGCCTGGGACTCCATCTACATTTTCCCCATGGGTGGTGGCAGGGCCCCAAGTACTTGGGCCAGCTTCCGCTTTCTCAGGAACATAACAGGGAGGTGGATGAGAAGTGGAGCAGCTGGGAGTTGAACAGGTGTTCATATGGATGTTGGCTTCTCAGTGGAGAGCTTAATCCCTGCACCACAGTGCTAGCCCCCTTTATTTATTGCAATACTAGTATGTATTTGTAAGTATTTATTTATTTGAAAGGGAGAGTAACAGGGAGAGAGATTGAGAGAGAGAGGTTTTCCATCCACAGCTTCACTCCCAAACTGGCCGCAACACCTGGACAGACCAGTTGGAAGCCAAAGACCAGGACCCCTTTCTAGGTCTCTTTTACGAATGGCAGAAGCTCAAGTATGGGAGCCAGCACCCCACTGCTTCCGAGGCACATTGCAGGGAGCTGGAGCAGAAGTGGAGCAGGCTTCTACTCTGATGAGCTGGTGCTCTGAAACGAGATCCCGACTCCCAGAGCAGCAGTTTAGGGGGCTGCACCACAACAGCAGACCCTGTTGTCACAGCGAGGCCCCGTCCGCAAACCTTGCCACCCCCCACACTCATGCTCTTATATGGCAACATGAATGCATACACACAGAGCATGCTCTTATATGGCAATCACATGCATGCACACACATACACATGTGATCTTTTTTTTAAAGGCAGTTTTACAGAGAAGGAATACTATGATCTTATATGGCAATGTTGGTGCGTACATGCAGTATGCTCTTATATGGCAACACACATGTACGTGTACACACACCATGCTCTTATCTAAACATATACGTAACATGCTCTTATCATGCTGCACACTTCCAGGCTGCTCTCAGTCCCGTTGTGTTACACCTGGATATGTTTTCTAACCTTTAGGGGATCCTTGGTACCTCCAGGCCACTAGCTGGGTGGTGACTGCATTGTGTCTGTTTCAGCACATTCTTTAGGACAGCCAGCTCATGTCCTGCGTGTAGCAGACACTCCATAAATAGCTGACTTCCTAGAGTGTGCCTGGTTACTCCACAAGCTGGCCTCCCACCCGTCTAACCTCTGACCTTCTTGCTGTGGACCTGACCTTCTCGGACCCTGACCTTGGCTGCCCCTGTCAGCCCAATGTGCTCCGTGCTCTGGCTGCGCCTGCCAGGGGGCGTCCCTTGCCCCACTGACAGTCAGCTTTACTCTCCAGGCAGGGGTCCTTGCCAGCCACTTCCCAGGCCACTGCAGGTGGAACTTATGCTCCCAGCTGGGCCCCTGGAGACAGTAAGAGCCTTCTGGTCTGAGATCCCAGGCCCCAGCAGTGCTGGCAGGTGTAGCTCTGGCAGCGGGCCTTGGCGAGGCTCGTGAAGGGCATCTGGACACAGGTGTCAGCCTGCTGCTCACAAGCCACAGGACGCGGCATGGTTTGGCCAATTAACCACAAATTGTGTTTCCTTCCACTTGGCGGAAAGCAGGGAGAGAAGAGAGACTCATATGGAGTATGATCCACTTGCAATGTTGTGGAAGATTTATTTTATTTATTTGTAAGGCAGAGTAACAGGGTTGAGGGCAGTGGAGAGAGAGAGAGGTGGAGAGAACAAATCTGTTGCTCAATTGAACTCCTTAATGGCTGCAGACACTAGGGCTGGATCAGGCCAAAGCCAGGAGCCTGAACTCCATCCAGGTTTCCCACCTGGGTGGCAGGGGCCCAGCACTTGGGCCATTTTCCTCTCCTCTGCCAGGCATATTTGCAAGAGCACTGGATAGGAAGTGGAGCAGCTGGACTCAAATTGGTGCACTAGTATGGGATGCCAGTGTTGTACACGGAAACCTAACTGCTGTGTCAATGCCAGCCCAACAAAGTTTTAAGAAATTCAGATTGTTAATTCATCAGTGACCTGTGTGAGGTTATTTACATGTAGTTTGGCTGTTATGCGCATGACATACCCACAGGTGTTATTTATGTGAAGTTTATATGTTATACGCCCTTGTACCCTCTGCCCCCAGCTCAAGGGTGTCTCTGTCCCCTTCCCCAGGGCTTTCTTGGTGGCACTCTGGTGATCTGGTGCCTCTGCCGGGGGCTGGATGGGGGGATGATCTTGTAACAGGCTCCCTGCTCAAGCCTTCTGGGAAATGGTCTACAGCTGGACATGGCTAGGGGCATGGAGGGAAGTGAAGGACTGCTGTGTGTCTGAGCTTGACCCTTGCTATGTGGCTGGCCAGCCACGTACCCCCTCAGCCCTTGCCTCACCATCCAGCAAGTGAAGGGGTAGCATTGGAGGTCTCTGGGATCCCGTCCCCGCTGTGTGTAGTGTGTTGGCTCCCGAGGGTTCCGTGCTAGGCACAATGCTGTGGTTTTTGATCTGGACCTCATTTGTGGCCGTCCTCCCATAGAGGTTGTTGCTATCCCACTGCATAGACAGTTCCTTAGAGACACTGAGGTTTGAGGCTGGGCTGGGTGGGAGGGGCACTTGGCCCCCATAAGCAGCTTTTCGGGAGCCAAGGCAGCTCTGGCTCTGGGCCTGTCTACCAGATGCCTGCAGCCAGCAGCCTTGACACATCGTCCATCCTGAGATGCTGTGGGATGCAGCAGGCGTTTCCTCTGGCTGTCAGGAGTGTGATTTTTTCCTCTCCTGTAACCTTTGCCAGTGGCCTCTGTGTGCTCCACCCTGCCTCCGCCCTCCCACCTTCACCCAGTGGGCAGCGGAGCCCCTGGGAGTCCTGCCTCTGTCCACAGCTGGACGCCTGCCCATGCAGGCTGCTGAGCAGGGAGGCAGGGCAAAGAAACCTGGCAGAGGAGGGTGTGTTGGCATTCATGTGGCCAGTGCCTGCTGTGCCCTGACCGTGGCCAGTAGCTGTGGTTTCTGAATAGGTGTCTGCTTTCAGCAGAGGTAGGGGTCTCTCGACCCTCTGTGACAGGTCTGCAATGGGAGATGGGTGGAGGCAGAGGATTCCAGGCCGGTGGAGGCTGGCCCAAGGTCATGGGTGGGACATTAACTCCCTGCTTCTGCTGTGCAAGTCTGCTTACATCTGTGGGTGCCAGAACCATGTCACTTTGTGCTGAGAAAGGTTACGGCTTTACTTGAGTTAGAGACAGCCAAGGAGCCTGCTGTGCCGGGAGCAAATGCCTGGATTGGTTTCAGGGGTGCAGACTTCCCCAACTGGCGTTTGGCCAGCTTCAGGAAGTGTCTGAGTGCGCTGTGCGAATGCAGG